GTTTCAGGCGCCGTGCCCATTGCTTGAATGTGAACATAGAGCATGCAGCCAAAAAATATTAAATACAAACCTTTTTCTTCACATGAGTTCCAAATTTCAACAGGGCAGGAGGTACAATCTGCCCGGCTTCCTTTAGAACATTTACCAGCTCTCCAGCAAGTCCCTGCCATAAGCTTGTCACTACTTGGAAAAATAAAGTTGAGTAGGTTTTCCACAAAAATGGTTGTATTTTCCTTGTTAAATTATCCGTGATTTTGGAGCCAAATGTTTCATTCCACAATATCCTTTATCATAGCAACATTTTTAAGAATGTCATATGAATTTGAGAACATGAAGCAAATTGTAGTATACCTTATTCTGCTGCGTGAAGAATGTGTGAGCAACACCCTTCCGACCAGCTCTTCCAGTCCTCCCTATCCGGTGTACATAATCCTCTGTAGTGAGAGGAAAACTATAATTGATCACCACTTCAACATCTGGAATATCCAATCCTCGAGCAGCCACATCTGTAGCTACCTGAAAAGTATGGTGTCAAAAAGTATCAACAGTTATACTAGCTAGTCTTTTTTTTTTTGGCTGGACCATAGTAACACATAACAAACAGTGCTCCTGTAATTCTACAGATCCAACTGATATTACCAACACTGAGTTTCTTAAGAAAGATTAGAACAATTTTAAAAAGAAAAAAATGATAATATGCAAGAGTATACCATCAAAGGACAGCTTCCATCCTTGAATAATGATAGTGCATTAGTACGTTCATGTTGTGCTTTGCCGCCATGTATAGAAACAACATTCCAACCACTAGAAAAAAAAATTGAATAAACAAAAAGTTGAAATAAAAAGCTCACAAAAATTGCTAGCTTTGATACTTTAGCAGACCAGCCAACAGTCCTTAAATTTTGATGCGATTACAAATCCACAACTGGTTTTTAATGTTTAAAAACTTACCAACTTGAACAATCAAGCAATTTGTCGATAATTTATTCAATTTCATAACTCATAGTGACATGAATGTCAAGTGAGCACACATTGATTAACATTATCAAATCAAATTGTTATTGCAGATTTTAGATAGTCCAAGTGCTTAATTTAAAGTCAAAAGACTAAGTGGAGACCTATAATAGCATCAAAGTTTAAGGACCACCAGAATGCTACCCATTCTAGCTGATGAATGAAAATTCCAATATATTATTTAGGGAGATATTTCTAACTTAACGATTAAAATCGAAGTATGAGACAAGGGTGATGAAATTTACCTTCTTTGAAGCATATTTTCAATACGACCAGCTTCTGCCTTGTACAAGACAAATACCAATACTCTATTCCTGATTGAAATGCAAACCACTATATCAACAGGACGTAAATCACAAAAATAAAGATAATAAAATAACAGATAAGAGAGCTCAAGTCAAGTTCAAGTAATTTCAGTAACAGTATGGCTCCAAGATATAGTTTAAAGCTGATGCCAAAGGGCTTATTATCCCTAAAAGGTTACTGCCAACTAATGGGACAAATACCCTTTTTAGATAATAACAATATGTGCCAAAGGGCTTATTATCCCTAAAAGGTTACTGCCAACTAATGGGACAAATACCCTTTTTAGATAATAACAATATTCATAATCTACTAAAAATCATTAAGGATTTCTTGGATGGCTAATGTAATGAAACTATAAGAAAGCTTCTGTTCGCTACAAAATTTTTCTGGTTTCCACTCTTTTTCTATCTTTGATATATGTCTTGTATACTTCCTAGTTTAACCTATTTCGAAACCACCATACATTTCCATGCAGAATACTCAAAGCCTGAAAAATAAAATAAATTCAATTTTTTACCACAGCAATATGCAACTGGAAGAATCACAAGGAAAAAGTTATACAATTCAACAGATGCGAGAATAAATACCTCTTAGATTCATGGTATTTCTTGAGCAAAGCAGTCAAACGCTCATATCGTGAACGATCATCCAAAACCTACATATAGAAAGCAAAAGTTAATAAAAGCACATCTATATCTGTAAATGTGGGAGATGGTTTAAGTGGGTTAAGCAAAAACAGACCTCAACTATTTGCATAACATCATGGTTGGCAGCTAAATCTTCTGAGCCTATCACAACCTGAACACAAATTCATTATTTCCTGAAGTAAATAGGAAACTATGAAAATGTCATCATGCATGAAGATCTATACCTTAACAGGATTAGGGTCCATGTATTCCTGAGCTAATCGATGAACCGCGGCAGGCCACGTAGCACTAAACATTACCATCTGACGAGCTGCACAAGTTTAAAAGAGACATGAGACTCTCAACCCTAATTGCTCATGCATTATTCTATCAATATGCAGAACAATTTTTCTTATCTTGATGGAACTTGATTTTATTAACAGTTAACAGCATTTATTCAAGAGTCATCATCAACCATTAAAGCTCAAGCTTCAAAATAAAAATCTTCTAGGAGTCTTTAAAATTCCAATGTATCAATTAAGACACATACCAGAACACGTCCTTCCCAATATAAACCGAACATCATCTTCAAATCCCATGTCAAGCATTCGATCTGCTTCATCTAGGACCTATAGAATATTAATGCACAATTTTTAGTTCGAGCTTACATACTCAAGAAAAAGGTAATATAAGATTACCCAAAGGCTCCAAACAGAGGCAATTGAAACAGACTAGAAACTATAACAAAAAAGTTGAGGTCGTTCTACTGGTTACTTCCAATACAGTCAATTAGGGAAGGCTAAATAAATTTGACATAGAAACCACTGAATAATTGCAAGATAATGTGCAACGTAAGACAATAAAAAGTAAAAAGGATCATTCACTTACCACAAAAGATACATCCTTAAGCTGACACACTTCCATATTCATCAAATCCTTCAAACGACCAGGCGTTCCAATGACTATATCCTAGTTTAGAGGAAAATCCATTTTGTATTAGGCCAATATAAGAAAATTTAATACACAAAAAGTGTAGAATGTCTTTTTAGAATATTCAAAAGACATAAAATCTAATCGAAACAAGCAAAATCTATAAATTCATGAATAATATGCTTATTTCAGTATTGTTCAGAGTTCTTCCCATCCATCTTTTCTAAGAACCAAGTTTAAGAAGAAATTAAAAACCTATATAGCACCATGGCTTCAGATAGATTCATATATTCAAACCTATCATCAACCAAGGTAGAACAACAATTATTTAGACAACTATATCAACCAAGGTAGAACAACAATTATTTAGAACCAAAACCAGTAAAGAAAAAAAATACATATGCTAACATATGCAACCAAATGCAGGACATATTTAACATAAAAACTAAATAAACAGAGTCACATATGAAATATTAAAATAAAGAAACGAGATAGATTATCTTACAACGCCAGAATTTAAAGAAGAAATTTGAGGTCCTTTAGAGGTTCCTCCATACAAACAGACGCTTTTGACATCACAAGATTGTCCAGCATTACACAAAACGTTAAATATCTGCCACCAGAAAATGAAGCCAAACGATTTGTTACATTCTAAAGACTTATTTCTCAATAGATAATATGCACCGACATCACATATCCAAAAAAAACAAGTTAAAATCGATACATACTTGTTCGGCCAATTCTCTTGTCGGGGAAAGTACAAGACAAAGAGGATTCTTGTTCTTTATACGCTTTCGCTTGTCCAAAACATGCATCATTGCTGGTACTCCGAATGCCAAGGTCTTACCTGATCACAAAAACTAATATCAGATGCTAACATAACATAAAACAAATAATCATAAACTAAATTGCAGTACCTGACCCAGTTTTTGCAATTCCAATAAAATCACGACCGTTTAATAAAAAGGGCCAGGCATGAGCCTGAATTGGTGATGGACTCTTAAAATCCTTGCAGCAATTCAAAACATTTTTTGGTAACTTAGAGTCGGCAAATGATTTCAACGGCGCATATTTCGCTTCTTCAGCGTCCTTTCCGCTCACCACCACCTTCTCCTCCCCATCAAATTGAACTGAATCTTGCTTTATCTTTTGAGTTTCACTAAATTCCCCGTTTTCTTCTTCTTGCTTCTGCTCCTTTTTCTCCTTCTTTTTCCTCCTAGGCTCATCAGCACTTTCTTCGTGACTCGCTTGGCTTTCACGTTCTTTTTCATTCTTACGCTTTTTCTTGTCTTTTTTCCTCAACTCAATTTCTTCGGTTTCTTGCGGTTTCTGCTTCACATTTTCTTCCCTTTGGTCTTCTAACTTGGCTAATTTATTCTTCTTCTTGTTCTTTTTCTTGATCGCTTGATTGCTCATACTCTCTGGGGCTAGTGGTTCCGTAGACGGAGTCATTTTCCCGATCTGCGCCACAACCAGAACCAAACCCAGAGAGTTGTTAAGTTGGTGGTTAAGGTTTTATGTTAGGGTTTTAGGTTTGTAGAGCGCGTGAAGGTGAAAGGCCAGCCGCCACCGCTAACTGACTTGGGCTTTAAATTGGGACAATGAGGGCCAATTTAAAAAGGCTTCGGCCCAGGTGATATGCTCTGAATATATACAAATTATTTACTAATGAGAAAAATTAAAAAATGAATCAATAATGAAATTATTTATTTTTTATTTAATTATGTATAATTCATCTACTCGTTGGATTCTAAAAGATTAATCGTTTCCATTTTCCATTTTAATTTTTAGCTACAAGGTGAGATTAGGTGGAATTTTAAGATGAAGTTTGAAACGTCCTTTTATCAAATGAATACTAAAATTTAAAAAAATTGATAAATTTTTATATAAAATTAATTATGTAAGTATTGTTAAGGCACAAATTTAAATTAACAGTTAACGAATGGAGAAAATTTTATCATAATTTTAAATTAAACATCTATTGAATAAAGTATTAACTTTTCTGAACAAGACAGTATCAATTTTATTTAATTTTTTAATTAAAAATTTCATGAATTTTAATTAAAAAATAAAAAATTCACATTGTATTTGAGTTTGTTCTTATTTAATTGTTTTTAATACAAAAATTTTCACTTAAAATCCTCCATTAATTATTATCCAAATTGTAAAGTTAAATAAATTTAAACTCTTACCAAAGTTGTAGTCTCTTTAAAGCTATAACCAATTTATTCCACTTTTTGCTAAACAATAATAAAGCTATTTACCAAATTACCAAAATTAAAACTTTTATTTATTGAGGCCAACCATTGACAAATCATGACGTCCCATTTTCTCACTATCAGCCAAATAAACAACTGGCAATGAACTCATCAAAAATCCAACGGCTCTGCAATTTATGCAGTGGCGTTACTGTAAATCCTGCCAATACTAAGGGCAATATAGAATCTGAGTCACCAACAGTAACCCTGGGGTTATAAATTTGAACAGTCAGCCACCAAACTCAGTCATTGGAACCCGCAGTTATAATTTGCAAAAATTCAGAATGCAGCAAAAATTACTTGTCGCTGTCTTCTCGGTTTCCCTCATGTTCCTTCCTTTCGTCTTCTGCGATGCCCGGAGGAAGACTTTGGTCGGCGGATGGAAACCGATAAAAGACTTGAATGACCCCCACGTGACGGAAGTTGCGAAGTTCGCCGTGTCGGAGTACAACAAGCAGTCGAAGTCGAGTTTGGAGTTGAAGAGCGTGATGAAAGGCGAGATGCAGGTGGTTTCAGGAATAAACTATAAGCTTGATGTGGAGACCACCGCCGGGACCACCGCTGAGGCTAAGGAATACGAGGCTGTCGTTTGGGAGAAGGCCGGGCTTAATTCCAAGAGCCTAATCTCGTTTAAACCTATCCAGGGTTGATGAAGTAAATCGTTTGGGAACAACTTTTAGGGTTTTGGGAATGTATGTTCATGTTTTAGACTGATTTAAGAATGATACCAAGGGTGTTTATTCTACTTTTGCGACAATTAAAAATAAAAAATTTCGATTATGATTTATGATATATATAATTTTGTAATTTTTTAATATAAAATAAAAAAATGATATTTATAATATGAAAGTAAAAAAATAAGTATTTAAAAATTATTTTGAGACATTTAAAAGGACAAAAATGGATAAACAATGGAATAATATCTTGGGTATTTTTTATATCCCATTGAGAATGTGAGAAACAGATGAATAATCATTTAATTTAAAAAAATAAAGGAAATAAAATAATATTTTGAAAAAATAATACTACTATTACTCAACTAATTAACTATTAGATCTTTTAAAATAATACTACTACCCCAAACCTCGCATGAAATTGAAGGCTAAAGCAATCAGGCTCACAATCTCTCATTTTATTTATTTATTGTTCATTTCTTTTTTATATTGTTTCAAAAAATGACATTTTTTTTATTTTTAAACAGTTAATATTCTTATTTTTCTATAGTATAACTTAATTTTCATGAATTATATAGTTTTAATATTAAAAATTTAATATTTATATTATAAAAATTTAAATTTTAATTAAAATAAAAAATAAATATTTAAAGACGAAAAGATAATTTATATAGCAGTATGGCACAAGTTAACTAATTAATTCGCCAAGGAGACCCAAACATGATAATTTTATATAGAGGTATTTTAAAAAATAACTCTTAAAAATAAGATATTTTCAAAAATAATCAATTTTACAATTTTAACTATTTTAAATCAAATTAGATAAAATTATCTTTAATAATGTTACACGTCATTAGACAAAATTACCCTTAATGATATTATATTTCATGTTAAAAAAATATTATTGTTACACGTCATGGTTAAAACAAACTGTTATACATCATGTTAAAAAAAATATTATTGTTACACGTCATGGTTAAAACAAACTGTTATACATCATGTTAAAAAAAATATTATTGTTACATGTCATAATTAAAAACGTTATTACGCATAATATTGAAAAAAAAATTATTTTTATTACACATCAAGTATAAAAATATATTACACGTTATGATTAAAAAAGGTTGTTACATACTATGTTGAAAAAAATATTATTATTACACATCATGTACAAAAATATATTATATGTTATGTTGAAAAAAATATTGTTGTTATATGCTATGTTTAAAAAAATTTTATTACATTTTAATACTTAAAATATTATTATTACTTATAAACCAAATTTCAAATCCTCTAACTCTCTTTATTTCTTTTTTGTATTTTTTTTTTACAATTTGACACTAATTGAAGTATTTCTAATATATTTTCATAAATTAAAATATAAAATTTTTTATCTAAAAAGTATATTTCGACTAAAAATAAAAAAAATATTTTCAAACCTTAGGTTTATAAATTCTAAATTTTTAAGTTTATTAGTATTTAGGTCCAAATTAATCAAATTAAAAGCTATTTAAAATATCTGTAATTATTTTTGCTATTTTAGTTTCATTCAAAATATCAAAAAATTAAAATTTTCAAATAATCATCTATCCAAAACACATTAAAATCATTATTCGCATCTTGAAAGCAGATAAGAGAGAATTAGGAGCATAGATTAAAAGAAGAAATAGATAAACTTAGATATAACTGGAACGAGAGAGAAAAATTAGAAATACACATATAAAAAAAATATAATGAATGATTTTATTTATTTAAATATTTTTTACAAATATTTTTATCAAATTATAATTAAAAATAATTAAATTTATTTTGATTATTATTTTTGAAATGTGTTATCAAATAATATTTTCCTACTATATTAGAAGCTGCAGCGAAAACTCGGTTCCCAAGCAAAACAAAAATGGATATCTACATCTTCTTGCTCTGCATCTCCCTTCTCATCATCTTCCTTCGCCGCTCCTCCGCCCGCAGCCTCCCTCCGGGCCCCATCAACCTCCCTATAATCGGCTCTCTCCATCGCCTAGGCTCCCACCCCAACCAATCCCTCTTTGAGCTAGCCAAGATCTATGGCCCTCTCATGACTCTCCGCCTTGGTTTTGTGACCACTGTCATCGCCTCCTCGGCTGAAACCGCCAAACAGATCCTCCAAACGCACGAGCAGTCCTTCTCCGACCGCACTGTTCCTGACGTCGTCGCCTCCCAGCCTAACCCTGAGTCGACCCTTGCATGGGCCCTTGGAGATAGCAGGTGGCGCAACCGTCGTAGGTTATGCAACACCCAGTTGTTCACTGTGCAAAGACTCAACTCCCTGCAACACCTTCGCCACCAGAAAGTTGGGCAACTGATTGAACACATCAATAAACAAAGCGTTTCAGTCTCCCAAGTCAACATCGGGCAAGTTGCTTTCGCGACAGCGCTGAACTTAGTATCCACCACAATCTTTTCCGTGGATATCGTGGACCCTGACTTCAATACAGCTCAAGAGTTCAAGGATCTGGTGTGGAGGATAATGGAGGATTCAGCAAAACCAAACTTGTCAGATTATTTTCCAACGTTGAAAAGGTTCGATTTGCAGGGAATAAGGAAGCATATCAGGCCGTCTTACATGAGGTTGCACGAGATATTTGATGAGATGCTTGATAAAAGAATGGAAGCTAGAGCATCAGGTTCCAGTAAAAGTGGTGATCTGTTGGATGTGCTTCTTGATCAATGTGAAGAGAACCCGTCTGATTTCAGTCGCCAAAATATCAAACCTTTGATTCTGGTAAGGATTTCTTTTAGTTAACAGTTGAAAAAAACATTAATACAATTTTAAAAGCCTGATACTTTACTCGATGTGAAATCTACCAGACTTTTTGTTGCAATTAATTAAACATTTAATTACTTTTGACTATCCAATATAGGCTTACGGAAAAATAACGAAATTATTTTTCTGCTAGTACGGAATAAGCATTAAATTCGTTGAAGGGTGAAGGGTAGAGATCCAAAAACTTACTCGAATTATTAGACGCATTTTAAATAAGCCAGACCCAATCTTGTTTAATCATAGGCTACACGTGTCATCTAATTGTAAAGAACTTAAAAATTTGATTGAAAGACACCTTTGCTATATAGTTATAATCTTATAGATTATTTCCTAGGCTCCACATGTTCTGTTTTCTATTGCTTTCCTTTATCTATGGTGCTAGCTGTGGAAAGAAAGATCTCCAAACAGATCGAATCTTAACATGGTTTAAACATTAAAAACGAAAGATTTGGTAGACAACCGTACCTAGCATGCCAAAATAATTGATTCAGTCACCAGAAAAATAAACAGAAACCACGTTCAATTTTGATTCTGGGATTGGGTTTCTTTTTCCTTTTCTTTTAATGAAAAGGATTTGGTTATTTCTGCATGTAAACTTTTATTAGACCGCCTGTTTCAGGTTTTTCTGCTATAACAATTGTGCAAGTCTGAGTTGCTATGGTTCTAGAGGTTGATCCATTTCTTGGTTTTCCTCCTATGGTTTCCATCTCTCATATGCAATCAAATCTCTTTCAAATTTACGTTTCTCACACTCAAACAGGACTTGTTCATTGCTGGAAGTGATACATCTGCAATCACAACGGAATGGGCGATGGCGGAGCTCCTGAGAAAACCTGAAGCGCTACAAAAAACAAGAAGGGAACTCATAGAAGTTATCGGCAGCGAAAGAGCTGTGACAGAATCAGACGTGGATCAACTCCCATACCTTCAAGCTGTCGTAAAAGAAACGATGCGGCTCCACCCTGCTGCTCCTCTTCTCCTACCTTATAAAGCCAAAAATGACGTAAAGATATGCGGCTACACCGTTCCCAAGAACGCACAAGTTCTTGTGAATGCCTGGGCTATCGGTCGAGACCCAAAATTCTGGAGCGACCCTTTTTTGTTTTGCCCAGAAAGGTTCCTTGATTCCGGGTTAGATTACAGAGGTCGTGATTTTGAGTATATCCCATTTGGAGCTGGTCGAAGGATTTGCCCTGGCTTGCCCCTTGCAGTTCGCATGGTGCACTTGATGCTAGCTTCTATGATCCTTTCCTTTGATTGGAAACTTCCTCAGGGTATCAATCCAGAAGATTTGGACATGCAAGAGCAATTTGGCATGACTTTGAAAAAAGCTACACCTCTTTATGCTATTCCCATTTAGGTAAAAACGAGTTAAAAAAATGGTGTAAATTACTATTGTGTATGTCGATGGGATGCAAAAGTTTTAGTACCCATTTTCTTTTCTATGAATTATTACTATATTAATGCAAAGAAAATTTAATAAAAACTGATTTAAGTGATTGCAATTATTTATATGTATGATCAAGATAGAAAAACTGTCTCAAGATTTTTACTAGAAACAGAGTCCAATCCTTTCAAATTATTGTACTAATGTGGCAATGTCCAATGCAATTCTAATACTTACTGTCTGCAAAATTAGAGCTTCAAAAGTGCTGAACAGTCTTTTTTTAGTTCTTATTATTAACAATGGCAAGGGACCAGACATGGACTAGTAGGAGGAAGCCTGCCAGCTACCACCGCAAAACAGTCATAATTATAAATTAGCAGGGTTTTGTCTAGCTTGCTCAGTGTTTATATTCTGCGTCAACACCCACAACAATCTAACCAAAAAATGGAACTATACATCATCTTGCTCTGTATCTCCATCGTCTTCCTACTTTTCAAGCCCTTGTTCCACCGCTCCAAGACTTTAAACCTACCACCAGGTCCCATCGGCCTCCCCATCATCGGCTCCATCCATCGCCTAGGCGCTCACCCAAACCAATCCCTCTCCAAGCTTGCCGAAATCCATGGCCCCATCATGACTCTTCGCCTAGGCTCCGTCACAGTTGTGGTACTCTCCTCCCCTGAAATGGCCAAAAAAATTCTCCAAACTCATGCCCAATCCTTCTCCGATCGCCCGATTCCTGATGCTATTGCTTCCATGCCCAACCTTGAAGCTTCCTTGGTATGGGGTCCTAGTGATGACAATAGGTGGCGCAAACTCCGCGGAATGTGTAGCACCCAGTTGTTCAGTGCACAAAAGCTTAACTCTCTGCAACACCTACGCTACCAGAAAGTTGAGCAACTTATTGAACATATCAGGAAACATTGTCTTTCAGGTTCCCAAGTTAATATAGGTCAAGTTGTTTTTGCTACCACACTTAACTTGATTTTCAGTACAATGTTTTCGATGGATATTGTTGATCCGGAATTTAGTACAGCTGAAGAATTTAAAGAGCTGGTGTGGAAGATGGTGGAGAGCGCAGGGAAACCGAATTTATCAGATTATTTTCCTGTCTTGAAGAGGTTTGATTTGCAGGGAGTGAGGAAGCATGCAAGGCTGCCTCATGACAGGATGCATGAGATATTTGACGAGATGATTGGTAAAAGAATGGAGGCTAGAGCATCGGATCCAGCCACCAGGAATGGTGATTTCTTGGATGTGCTTCTAGATCAATGGGAAGAGAATGGATCTGTTATCAATCGTGAAACAATCAAGCCGTTGATCCAGGTGAAATTATAGTTTTACATTTTTTTTGTGGGGTGTAAATTTGAACCTTAATCCTTCCTCATTGAGGTAACATTGCTAAAACAAGTCTCACATTTTTGACAGAACTTGTTCATTGCTGGAAGTGAGACATCTGCAACAACCACAGAATGGGCAATGGCGGAGCTTCTTCGAAACCCTGACGTGATGCAAAAGGCAAGGGCGGAACTCATGAACGTTATTGGCCCGGAAAGAAAAGTGAAAGAATCAGACATGGATGAACTCCCATATCTTCAAGCTGTTGTAAAAGAAACCCTGCGGCTCCACCCAGCAGCCCCTCTTCTCTTACCATATAAAGCAAGAAATGATGTAGAAATCTGTGGTTACACCATACCAAAGGGCACTCATGCTTTGGTGAATATATGGGCTATAAATAGAGACCCAAAATATTGGGATCGCCCACTTACATTTTGCCCAGACAGGTTCATTGGCTCCAAAATAGATTATAAAGATGGAAGCTTTGAGTTTATACCGTTTGGAGCAGGGAGAAGGTTATGTCTAGGATTGCCTCTTGCGACTCGGATGGTGCACTTGATGTTAGCTTCCGTGATCCTTTCCTTTGATTGGAAACTTCCTCAAGGAATCAATCCACAAGAGTTGGACATGCAAGAGAAATTCGGTATGACTTTGAAGAAAGCTGTACCTCTTTATGCTATCCCTGTAATGAGATAACTATGAATAATCATTAACGTATTGGTAGAGCTTGTTCATCAACACTGGCATGATTGTTGGTTACTTCTATTTAGTTTTCGTTATCTGCTTTGAGGCACTTGTCATGTTTCTCAGCGCAATTCAGACCATTTCAATTTGACCCTCCAGCTTCTTACATGACCAAACGAAAAAATTAGCAGACAAGCTTACCAAAAAGCTTGAAGAGTGATTAAACAGCAGCCATTCCAATGATGTTAGGCACCGTCATCGTCACTGAGCTTCATACTTAAGTCCCATCTTTGTTTTCACCGAACTGAGGTGTCTTCGGGGCTTTCTTTCCTCTTGTTAGATGGCTTAGTTGTCGTTTAAAGTAATCTAGTGGAGTTAGAGGGACATGTGACTTAAGGAGCTAAAGCTTATGGTCAACTGAAGTATCTAAAGGTGGACCGTCTGGTTAGAATAAATCTTACAGCTAGCTAATTTTGTTTGGACTTGTAGTTTTGGGTTTTGGGTTTTGTTGTTGTCTTTAGAATAAGCTATTGATTCCTTGAACTTTGCATAGTCGATGAGATTCTTTCAAGCAAATTGATGTTTAGTACAAGTTGCAGCTTATGAAAAATTCATGTTTACTACAAGTTGCGCCTTGCGAAATACCAATTTCTCGGCGGACAAAAATAAAGTTTTGTTCATTTAATTAAGAGGAAAGAGACCAAAAACTGAGCTTTTTCCAAAACTTAAAAGAGCCTAATTAATTAATTAGGCCATTATGTTCATTTGCCATTTGTCAAGCCTCATGCCGACTCTTACAAAAGTAACTATCAGAACCAGCATCTTCTGAATCCAAACTTTAAACATTTGAAAATTTCCACGTCAATAAGGGTAGCACCTAAACAAATATATTATTGGAAGCAGACAACACATTCTCAAAGAATCAAATTTCATTACAGATAGATTGTCAAAAACTTTTCTTATGTAGGGTCCAATTATGATTTGTTTCCTTCATCTAATTAAAACCATTCATTAACGAACACCATATGACTGTGATGGAATGAATAAGAAGGAAAAAGAAAGCTATCAAAGATTTTTTGGGGTCAATAAATAATTACCATTGGGGAACTTTCAATTTGAATTTAATTTGGAGGGTTATGATTTGATTGATTAATCGAAAACCACACTTTTCATATTTTCAAACTCATAAATCATGATGTTCCATTGGACTACTAAATCGTAAGAATAATTATTAAATGATTGCTAGATGTCAAACCATAATTGTTTTACTAGTTATTTCACTTTACAAGGTTCGAACAATCCATCTATTTCATTTTAAAATTTTAAAAATCAAATTAATTGATTTATATAAAATTTAATAAAATTATGAATTAAAATCGAAATAAATTAAAATCAACTTATATTAATCAACTCGATTGGTTTTATCACTTATATTAATAATATTTATAGTAGAAATAAATATATCAATATATTCTTTATGTTAAATATTTTAGCAATATATTATTAGATTTAATATATATTATTAATGATTAATATGATCTTAAATTATGGTTATCCAGATTGTCGAATAAATCAAATATGATAGTCCATTAAAATTGAGTTCAAACAATTTAATCAAATTTAATTTATTTATTCAATAAATGCTCATCTTTATTCACAACTGTTTCATTAAAATTAAAATTCGCATTTTAATTACGAAATACTAATAAGTAAAATTAAATTCTGCCAATCATATGAGTTTGCGTAGAAAGGAAAATTAAACGTAAAATAATAAAAATAATTCAAATAAATCTTTTTTTTTTCTTTTATTCGAAGGGAAAAGGGTTAGGGGGAACCCACCGACCGACGATTGCGAAAGCCAAAACACGTCTCCTTACGTGGCAACCACCGATTTTGCTAGTTTCAATGTGCAACGACTCTAGTACCGCCACGTACACCCGCTTGTGCGAATGAAGTCACTCCATCTGGCCACGCAAGCAAGCCCAAACTCGTAAATATTTCAAATATAAAGGGTCAATCCATAATTACACTTAATATCCCGCGTCACTCACAAGCCAAGCTGGTTACAAGAGAGTAAAGTGTTTTCTCTATGTGAAAGCTCACTCAACCGAAATTTTGCCCAAGTTTGGAGAAATTTTGGGATCTCAAATAGAGAGAAAATGAATCGCCACCACGATCCTAACCCGTTCGATGAAGAAGAAGTCAATCCGTTTTCGGTATTAAATTTTATTTTTTTTCCTTTTTTTTTTTCCAGTTTCTCTTTTTTGCCCATCTCAGATCTGGATTTCTGGTTCTATTTACGTGTCCGGGGTGTGCTCTTCGTTTTTCGGGGTTAGTTTGGGGATTAGGTTTCCCGAAGACTAGATCTGAAAAGGCCTGCTTTGCTAAAATGTCGGGGAGGAAATGGCTTTCGATTTTTTTGAATTTCGTGTTTTCTTTTGCTGCAATTAATGGAAAAAACTTTGGGTTTATTTGATTTAACAAGTGAGAATTTCAGTGTTTAATTTTTGTAAAAATGGCTTTTATTTTTGAACCTTGTAATGTAATTTTAATTAAAGCTTTTTTTTTTCCATATTTATCTTTGAGTTTCTTCAAAACTCAAGCAATTTAATAGCCATTCTGAAAGTAGGGTCAATTTGGTTGTTTCAAATGTGTTATAATTTCATGAACCTGAAAATTTCTATACGGAGTGATATTAATTGTAATTTGTAAATTATGGACCATAGATGTTTAATATAAGCTGGATTTGAGCCTGAGATTGTTCTTCCTTGCTAGCCGTGTGACCATGTATGTAATAATGCTGATACACGTTAGTCATGTTCATAGTGTATGCTATGTTAAGTGCTGAGCTCGTGACAATTAATGCTTAATTGGGCATGATTCATATATCTGGCACAGGTGTTACTCGCATGTTGCTTGGTCGTGTTTCCTTTAAATATATTTAAATATATTTCATCGTTCTCTTTTCTGTTGCTTATTGTGAGTCATTGCAGAACGGAGGTGCTGTTGCTCCTGCACGACCACTGGCGTCCGAACCTCTGGGATTTGGGCAGAAACATGATGCTACAGTGGATATACCTCTGGATACAATGAATGTAATGAAGTTTCAATCTCCTTTACATTTCTATAGCATGAATACACAGGGGATGACTGATTGCTTTGTTGTTTTCATAACAGGAGCCCAAGAAAAAAGAGAAGGAGCTTGCAGCTTGGGAAGCTGATCTTAAAAGAAGGGAAAAGGTTATTTTTAACTTGGTGTTTGTTTAGGAGTGTGAATCACTTGCCTTTTTCTTTTGTTAATGTTAAATAAAGACTTACTGATCCAATTGTATCTTGTAATGCCTCCTTTCTTGTGCACTGCATTAAATGTTCTCATGCTTTGACTGTGACTTGAGTTTTGAGTTTGCTAGTTAACTTTTATTTCATTTTTTATTTTTTTTCAGGACATAAAGCGAAGGGAAGATGCTATTTCCCAAGGTAAGAGAACGGGAGCACAAGCAACAGTTTACTTTTACTTTCTTTTCAATTAGTGGAAGGCGCTAAATGTTCCCTTTTTTTCATTATGGCATATCAGCTGGTGTTACTGTAGACAATAAGAATTGGCCACCAATTTTCCCAATCATACATCATGATATAGCTAATGAGATACCAGTTCATGCTCAAAGGCTGCAATATCTTGCATTTGCAAGTTGGCTAGGTATGGAAGCTAACCTTTCCACTTTGTTATCGTGGATGTTTTCTACTAATAACAATTCTCACTTTGTAAATGGTAATTTTCTAAGTTTTTATACAAAAGACACTGTTGTAGAATGTTTGCTCTGAATATTATGGTTATACTACCTTTGCTTCTCTATCCCTTTTTTACTCAAATGAATGAAAAAGAATCCTCAAGTATTTAATAATATTATTATATTTTCCTTATATGCTTGTGAATAATTGTGGGCAATCTCATGGTCATAAACCTAGCTGAAGCATCACAACTAAACAAGTATTGGATTTCCTCAAATAGAGTGTGCCCATTTAATTGGTATTTCCCAGGAACACTTAGTCTGAGGGTTCATTGATATTTGAGTGGATGTCATTGCTGTCTAATGGATTCAATTAGTTTTTTATTTTTAAATCTTTTTATAGTTTAAACCTTGAAAACTTATATGACATAACTCTCCTTGAATCTTCATTTAACATGTACATTTTGGATATTATTTTACAGTATTTGGCCATACTAGAAACCTTTGCACCTTGTCCGCCACCTCCTCTTTTTTGCTGATTTTACTGACATGCTTTGATTTTTATTGTTTCAGGCATTGTTCTTTGTCTTGTTTATAATGTTATTGCAGTGATTGTCTGTTGGATTCAAGGCGGGGGTAAGTATTTTCTGATTCCTTGATATTTTGTATTTGTTGTCAAATTTGGTCCCAGCATACAATAATATTTATATTCTAACTTGGTTAATACAATGTAGGTGTTAAAATTTTTTTCCTTGCTATAATCTACATGTTGCTTGGATGTCCTCTTTCATATGTTTTGTGGTACAGACCTCTATATCGAGCAATGAGGTAAATATATACTGATTAATTTAAAAATTCAATTTGTAGCGTGAAAATAAAAAAATTTTTGGTGTGCTGATTGTTCTGCTGGGTACTTTGTTTCACCTTGCAGGACAGATAGTGCTTTGAATTTTGGTTGGTTTTTCATGTTTTACTTGGTGAGTTTAGTTATGATTGACTTAGGCATCATTAGTTTTCTGGTTGATTTTTGTTTAACTTGTCTATTTGCTTTGTGTAGCTCCACCTTGGGTTTTGCATATTTGCTGCAATAGCTCCTCCTGTTGTCTTTCATGGGAAGTCATTGACGTAAGTTCTTAATTCCCTAATTTGTGCCCAAAATCAGAAGGACCTTGAGTTGGCAAATTTGTTGATTGTCCAAGCAATTTGGTGTACATGTTACCTTGTTATGAAGTATGCTTTTAATGTGATTGAAATACAAATAATCCAAGCCTTCGAGACACTTAGTGGCTGGGACATTCCAAAACCTTTTTTGTTCAGTTTTGCCCCATCCAAATGTTCATTAGTTGTTGGAATGGTCTTATGATTGTATCTTTTGATGATTCTAGAGAATCACACTTAACTTTGTCTCTAATGGTTAATATATATTTATATTGTGTCTAATTGCAGCGGTGTCCTGGCGGCCTTCGATGTTATCTCTAATCATTTGGTGGCAGGGGTGAGTTCTATTACTTTTGCATGTTGGCATAAGTTATCACTTGTTATTCAGCAAGTTGTAGGAATCTAAGGACGTGCATTCTTCTCTCCATCTCAAATAGACTTTTGTTTTTATGGACAAATATAATATAATAATTAGGTACCATTGTTTGGAAGATGTACTTCAGAGGAGAGTTATGAGAGATATATGATCATACATGAATGCTTTTGCTGCAGATAGAGTCCTACTCTTTCTTAAACATTATTTTGTTGAATGTTTGGGCTCATCTAATTTATTTGTTGGTTTACAGATTTTCTACTTTGTTGGCTTTGGGCTGTTTTGCTTGGAGTCGCTGTTAAGCCTGTGGGTTCTTCAGGTTAGTCTTCATCCATCTTATCGTATGATATAAATAGATATAGTTAATATTGTTGCACATAAGTCCCTTCCATTCCAATCTGTGAAAACAGAAAAGACGTATATGATGCGAAAAAGTTCATAGAATCAGTCTTAGAATTAACATAAAACCATTTATATATTCGATTGCAACAGTATGCTGCTTTGCCTTCTTATTTATTTGCATATAGACTGAGAAAGTTTTGCCATTTTCCTTTTGTTGGTTTGCGCAGAAAATATACTTGTACTTTAGGGGCAACAAGTGAGAGATTGAATTGAGGCTTGGGCTCCTAGTTGGATTTTTTGGTGATGCCGCGTCTCATGGTAGTTTTAGTATATATATATATTTTTACACATTATATTGTGTTTATCATTTTATAATTGTTGTTTGCATCGATACAATGGGTTTGTATGCTGAGTAGATTCTAGGAAATTACTGTGTCACTGCCTTCTGAGAGTGGTCTTTAATTAATTTCCAAATTCTTTTACCACACCAACACCCTTTTCCCATGTAATATATGCGTTATTTTGTTAAGCATGACATCAACAAAACATGAACAGCATGATTAACGTTCCGAAGTGCTAGTGAAAAATTGTACTGCAAGGTAAAAACCTGGCCAATAGCGTGACGATACGTGGCAAAATATCACAGACTTGCAGGGCACGGGGCCGGCGTGTCTTTTGGGGAACGGGACTGTAATCAACCAGAATACTGGGCTTTAAAAACCGGATTTGGCCCAAAATTTTCAACCTAGGAAGTGCTGAGCGATGAGGTGGATAATTAATTTACACCCAATCTTAAATGTTTGTCCACGGATTTGGGACTTAGGTGACGTTTGGTAAATGTTTGTCCAGGGACTTGGGATTTAGATGACCTTTGGTATAAGAGAAGTGAGAGTATATTTTTAATAATGTGTTTAATTAAATTATATTACAGTATTTATTTTACAATCGATCATTATAATGTAAGATTGTAATATAATCACATTACAGTCAAAGATGCAATGTGATTGCAATTCAAGACTAATGCAATCACATTGTATTATATTCTTTAATGTTTTTAAAAATAATTTTACTTTTTAATTTTATTATTTTATAAAAAATATTTTATAGCATTATAATTAAAATAAAAAATATGAAAATAAAATATATAATATAAAAATCAAAAATTAAAATAAAATAAAATATAAAAAATTAAAATTTATATAATATAGGTAAAATAAATTAAAATAAAATATATAATATAAAAATATATTAAAAAATAAAAATAAATTATATAAGATTATAATAATAAATAAAAATAAAATATATGATATTAAACATATATTTAAGAGATGATATTATATAAAAATTAAAAATTAAAAATATAAATATATTAAAAATAAAATATATAAGATTATAATAATAAATAAAAATAAAATATATAATATTAAAAATATATTTAAGAGATGATATTATATAAAAATTAATAATAAAAAATATAAATATATTAAACTTGTATTTTAATAATTAAAAGTAATTATGAAAATTAATATTATATTTTCAATAAAATATTTGTAAACCAAACGCTGTAATGTTATTTTTTCTACATTTTAATCATTATTTTGCTTGCATACCAAATACTGTAATATTATTTTTTATGCAATCACATTACCTGTAATCACATTACCTGTAATCACATTGCATTGTAAAGTACCAAACGTCACCTTAGTGTTAAAAGGTCAACCAAAACAACTCAGAGGAGCCCATGCTTCAAGGAAATATTTCACTACCAAACTACCTCATTTACCAAGTTCATGTGATGGTAGAGAGCATGATTGATTATAGATTTAAGCAGGAAAATGTATTCAATATACAGAAACGACTTAAAAGATGCGAATTCCGATTCTCAAAACCTGAATTCTGCAACAGGTAGAAAGTCAAATCTATATATACTTGAAACATGAACAGGAACTAATCATGTTGAGAAATCATTCTGAAGCTAGCTAGTAGCATATCTCAAAAGGTCTGCCTGGGTGAATTGTGTCCTCATGTCAAGAATTAATAGAGAAAATGTTGGACAAGAGGAATTGAAAATAAGTAATATTTTTTTTAATATACTAAAAACTTTATATTACAAGAATTGAATTTAACCTTAATCTACTCATTTTGCTTATCAATTCAGAGATTCCAGGTATAAGTATTTAATTAGCACTATTAATATGCCAACTAAGCTAACTTTGATGTGGAAATGGAGTCTTTCCTTTGGTTAGGTTTAGGGTTGGCAAATCTGCACATTCTAATGTATGCACACAGCATGCAGCTGCTAAGACCCACAGTGCCACAAATGCCTTTTGCAAACCATAGGCTGTCGTTCTTCAAATTTCTTTTGACCATTTTATTGTTTTATTGTGGGTAGTGATAGTAATGTGTGGTAAACTAATACTCCCGCAATTTCAGAGAGGAAGAGTCCAAAGAAGGAATTGCATGGCACAGCCTCCATATCATCCCCATCACTCCACACCCCAAACCCCTCATCTTTAACCAGCCACCCCCTTCATGCCACGTGGCAGACAAATATCCAAACTGAAACAAATAACCACCAAGCTTCCCCATGCCCTGTGTTCTATCACATATCTTATGCCATCACCTCATCAAGAATTCCAATCTTTTCTCATAAATTAGTCCAATATAGTATATAGCTATCTGGTGCACTTCACTTTTGCCAAAGGAAATGAATTTTTGAAATGACCCTTTTATCCACTGCCAATTGGGCCAAGTCCATTTGAGTCCCTTTCATTCTCACCTTATTATCACCTCCAAACTTGTCCAAAACTAGGGGCAGTCACAGAAACGCATAAGTAAAAGACACCTCAGCTTTCCATCACCAGAGCTATACTGTTTTCTTCCTTTACATACTGCCATCTGTTTTCTTCAATCTTTCCCTCTTCATTATTTGTGTTCCAAAACTTTCCTTGGAAATCAAAGGACAAGAATCCAAACTCGTTTTTGCTTGGTCTTTGAGGACTATCTAAACAATTTGCGAGGGCATCCCATTTCAGTAATCTCTTTCTGTCTCGAAGCTCTCTAAATTCCCTTTTCCGGGGCAGACAGAAGGAGAGAAAAAAAGAGAGCTAAGAAATGGCAGTCTGCACAATATACACCACTCAATCTCTCAAATCGACATGTTCAATCTCCACACCAACGAAAACCCACTTGGGTTTTCACCAAAAGCAGGTGGTGTTCTATAGCACTGGCAAGAGAACTAGCAAGAGAGGTAGCAGCAGCAGCTGCGGCCCGTGTGTCATAACCTGCTCAGCTGGTGATTCACAAACAGTTGTGATTGGTCTGGCTGCAGACTCAGGATGTGGGAAGAGTACCTTCATGAGACGGCTGACAAGTGTGTTTGGTGGTGCGGCAGAGCCACCCAAGGGAGGCAACCCTGACTCGAACACACTCATCAGTGACATGACCACCGTGATATGCTTAGATGATTATCATTCACTTGACAGAACTGGAAGGAAAGAGAAGGGAGTGACAGCACTGGACCCAAAAGCTAACAACTTTGACCTCATGTATGAGCAAGTTAAGGCTCTCAAGAGTGGTGTTGCTGTTGACAAGCCTATTTACAACCATGTTACTGGTCTCTTGGATCCTCCTGAGCTCATTAAGCCTCCTAAGATCCTTGTCATTGAAGGACTGCACCCCATGTAAGTCAAAAAACTAGAAACTAGAGCCATTCATTAATTCCTTCTTCCTCAGCCATACATCTGTTCATGAAACTTTGGAATTATCCTCCCTGCATGTTTTGGGCTGTTTTGATGACAAAAAGAAGATCCCATACGACTGGTTTTGTTACTTTATGGGAAATAAGTAAAACTTCCTTTTTTCTCTGTTTCCTAACCCCAATGTCAAGTTAAATCAATTTTTGATTATGGAAAGCAAAGCTCCCATGCATTCTTCGATTAAAGTCCCATTCTCAGCCAGTTGGGCTCAATTGTAACTTTGGCCCATTGAAATTATTGGTTTTTAACTTCTCAGCATAAGCTTTCGGCCTCCTCTATTTATTCTTAAACCAGGTTTTCTTATCTGACTCAAGATGGGAAAAGAAAAAGCGAATCAGAATTAGGGAAAAAACAGATGCTACGTATTGATATTTGTATATTTGTATTAGTATATCTTTTGGGCTTGGACTCAGTAACATTGGAGTTGGCCTTCCAATCCATGCCAATTATGTTTGTGCTATTGCATATTACCACTTGTTTAATGTTTGTTTATCTCTATAGAATATTTTAATACATTTTCATTCTTTTACTACAACAATTTTTTCTGGGAATCACCCAACTTAAGCGACTGCTCTGTCCTAATGTATAGGTTCGATGAGCGTGTGAGGGATCTGTTGGACTTCAGTATCTATTTGGATATCAGCAATGAGGTCAAATTTGCATGGAAAATTCAGGTGACGAACCCTGTCGACTAATGTCAAAATGTTCTGAAAACCCAATGCCCGGATTTTGTTCTTACTTGGCTGAAAACATTGCAGAGGGACATGGCTGAAAGAGGGCATAGCCTTGAAAGCATTAAAGCTAGTATTGAAGCCAGGAAGCCCGATTTCGATGCCTTTATCGGTAAAAACACTACATAATCCCTAGTCGATATTCAATTTTATTTACAAGAAATCCCATTTGTGGAAATTAATAGAAAATCCTAAGTTCTTGAGCTTCTGCAACCCTTAGCACCAGACCAATAATGGAAGAAGTATATAAACTTAGTAATTGCAACCTCGTCAGATTTTTTTTATGAAAGGCAGGAATATTATTGATCATAGTTTCTCACAAAGGAGAATAACAACAACCAAAGTCCTAGTAAGACTTTCAGAGAAACATAAACATCGCAAGATCAAGAGTGAGAGACTTTATGATCCAAAACAAAACAAAAAGCGGAATTCCTAACCTTCTATGTACATTCAATAAGATCCACAACATCATATCTGGCATAACTCACCCATAATCCCTTGAACAATTAATTCTGCAGAGCAACCCACAGGGAGAAAAGTGGTTCAATCCCATAACCATAATTGTCATGTGGCCAAGTCAGAGGAGATCTTTTGGTTATAGCTGTCAAAGTAAGCACAGAAGCTTGAGGCCCTCAAAACACCAGCTTTTATGTGAGGCTAGGATCGATGTTTTATTCGTACAGAAAAGTTAGACAATGACTATTTTATGTGACAATTTCTTGTGTTGTTACAATGGTGTCCCTGCAAATTAAAAGATGCGAGACATTAACCATTATTGTGCTTGGTGGTGCAGATCCACAAAAGCAATATGCTGATGCAGTAATTGAAGTGCTGCCAACTCAGCTCATCCCAGGAGACAATGAGGGAAGGGTTTTGAGAGTTAGGCTAATAATGAAAGAAGGGGTGAAGCATTTCAGCCCGGTTTATCTGTTTGATGAAGGCTCAACCATCTCTTGGATACCATGCGGAAGGAAGCTCACTTGCTCTTACCCTGGCATCAAATTCCATTACGGGCCTGACACTTACTTTGGCAACGAGGTATGCATTTGATATAACATTTCTCAGTTATATCTTTAGTGAACTCAAGTTCCCAGACTTTGGGTTTAACTCGTTGAGGCCAATGTTTGTGTTTCTGTTGGCTTTTCTTTAGGTTTCGATTCTGGAGATGGACGGGCAATTTGACAGATTAGATGAACTCATTTACGTTGAAAGCCATTTGAGCAACATTTCTGCCAAGTTCTATGGAGAAGTTACCCAGCAAATGTTGAAGCATGCTGATTTCCCTGGAAGTAACAACGGAACCGGCCTGTTCCAAACCATTGTTGGATTGAAGATAAGAGATCTGTATGAGCAAATCACCGCAAGCAAAACTGCAGCTCCACTAGAAGCAACAAAAGCCTAAAGAGTACGAGAGCTGCCTTTGGGGTTCATAAAATTATCCTCTTTTCAGTTTTCGCCTTTCCACGTCCTGCCTCTTTCACGTTTGAATCTTGAGCGTTGGGCTGTTCCTCTCATAAGAATTGAGTTATGCTCTTTTGTATTTATTGTCTGTTTGTAATTCTGTGGAGATATGTACTATGGAGAAACAAAAATCAGAGATCAAATTCAAGTTAAGAAGTTCATACAAGAAGAAGCTTTTGACATCATCTCCCCTCTACTACTTCCCTATTGTTTGTAACCATTGATGATGCAATGACTTTTGGTTCTTTTCCCGAATAAGAGGATTGGCCATAGAGCATGGCCATACTGTGACGTTTTCCTTGAATTTCTTGTAACCTTTGCTTACCTATCTCACGTCACCTATGCAGTTAATTTCATCATAACCCGGCACATGAAGAAAAGTGAAGGAAAGAGTGTAATCCGTTTTATAAACTTTAAAGCAAGTTTGAATCGTCTGAGAAAACACGACAAGTAAAGTCTCTTGAAGCAGTCCAGATAAGAGATCATCAAGGGCAAATGGAATTATGAATTATGGAAAGCCAGTGCTTGTGAGAATTCGGATGAAGAGAGAGAGATTCTAACAAACTGATAAACACATACGAGCTGCAACTAAGCAGAGAAGATGGTTTGCAACTTTGCATCCTTAACATGAAGAAAAACTGTTATGCCCGGTACCTGATTTCATTAACATACTTAACACGTAATGCAAAAAGTACTAGCAAATACGGTACGAAACAATATCCATGTAAATAACATTTAAAGTTATTTTTACAAACATCAGGTTTTCAAATGCAAAGTAGCATCCCCTTCTAAGTTTTAGGGAAAGAAAGAAAAACTATATTTACACTCCGATTTGTCAGCCCATTTCTAGGATATAGCACTAAACTACAATCAAACTAGCAAGCAGAGCAGTAATATATATTTGAAACTACTATATACGTTACCCAACTACCAGCCATCTGCAGCTCTATTTGATTGTAACAAACTTGTTTGTACCATGCCTGGCCCAGTGGTCCTTCAAGTCAACAGGATGTGAAAGATCATGACCTTCAGCCGCAAGTCTCAGAAGAAGTTTCAAATATGCTCCATTGCTCATTTTTCTCCCAGCCATGCGAGCACCAGGCCTGGTGGAACTCATGGGAAGAGGATATTCTGATATATTAATAGTGCAACACGATGATTGCCAACCACCGGCACCCCACTTGTAGCACACTCTTGCAACACCTGTACATGAGCAAATGGGGGAAGGCACCCCAGAGAAATCAAAGTTTGTTCCATCAAGATCAATATTGAGATTCTTCTTCTCACGCCTGGCTTCTGGGATGATTGTTCCCTTAGCCTTCTTTGGAACAGAGGGTTTCTTCTTGGGCTGCTTTGGCCTCAGCACCTTGGATGCAATTTGATTAGAACCCTTCACAGACGGATTCTGTTTGCCTACCTTTGCACTTTTACTCCCCAAATCATTGTTCTTCCCTGACTCAGTTGTGGGAGCAATGGAACGAATGGGAGCAACAACAAGACCAGGTTCATGGTGTATTTGAGCTCCTTGCAGAGAACTTAAACCAGGTCTGGATGTGGGGATGTAATTTCCAGTATAAAACAAAGAAAAAGGTGAAACAGATGATCCAGTGTTAGTTTCAGGCATCATGCTCTTATTGGAATATGACCCCATCTTCATAGCTACCATTCAATTCTGCAGCACAACATCTACAAAAACGAAATTCCAAACAAGATGCTAAATGATTTTCAAGCACTAAAAAATAAACAAATCCAAGCCTTTCTAAAGTCTTGTATATCCTTAAAAGTTCTACCATCTATTATCTACTTTCTCCTTCATAGAAGATGTTGTATGTGCAGGATCATGCACAATGAAAATATCACCCTAGCAGCGATCCCAAATCTTTGCTAAACAACAGAAACTGAGAAAAGCTTGCATGCATAAACTTATACATCTTTTGAAAGAGAGTGGAAAGTTCTAAAGGTGTCAGTAAGCATATGGGAGAAGACCAGATTGCAAGCGCAGCTAAACAGATTGCAAGACAGAAAATTCATATCAAGAGAGGGAACAAAAAAGTGAGAAACTCCCTCCAAAGTCCAAGAAACTGAAGAAACAATAACAAATGCACACTACATCAGAATAAAGCTACCTCAAATTCTGTAAACAGTTACTATGGAGCAGAAGCAAACCATCAAGGTAAAGCAAATGAAACAGGTTTTAGATAAGTAATAAAGAAGATTCCATACAAACCCCAGTTCAAAACTGACAAGGACAAGGCAAAAACAAACCACATTAAGATGAATGAAACCACCCAAAACCCTGAAACCAAAAACTATTACCCATTAATTAGAAAACCCCATTTGAGGAAAAGCATCAAAGAAACAACTGACAACAAATCGCATAAACCCATTTGTCAGCCTGAAAAATCAAAGGCCAAAAGAAACCACATTTAGATAAAAAAAACCAAATTTTTTTAATTAATAACCGACAACCATAAAGCAAGAAACTCAACAAAAATAGAATAAGCTCTAAAAGCTGGAAATTCCATAATTTAAGGTACAGGGTTAAAGGGAACTTACAAGCTTGGCAAGATCTAGCAGGAAAGTGGTTCTAGGCAAGTTTCTGTGCTGAAAAAGCTAAGAAGAAGAAACATAGTAAGTAATTTGTTATCTGCAAAAGAAAGTTCCCACTTGTATGGTTAATGGTCTCAGTCTGACTGAGCAGTGAGCAGTGAGCAGTAAGCGGAGAGCACCAAAAGCAGTGTAACCGTACTTGCTATCTTTTCTCTCTCTGCCTTTGGGTGTACAAAGAAATTGATAAAATATTCGTTGTCTAATTTATTACACGAATTCTTTTCTCAAATCTCAAGAGAGTGAGACTCCCCTTACGTTGGTGAGGGTTTTGTTTGTCTCCAAGTAGTCTCCCGCACTTCATCTACATGTTTAACATTCCCATAAGGGAACTCAAGACTGTTCTGCCACTAGCAAAGACATTTGTGCCATGTGAAACATGGTGGCATAGTCCTGTTCGTTCATTTCTCACGTGTATGATTTTCATTTTTTACTTCATTTCATCCTTTAAGTATTATAGTTTAAGATTTATGCTCAAATAATTCCTAATTCTTATAAATTTACTTAAATTAAACTCATAATTTTTTAAATTTCCTTGTTTGTTGTCACTTGTAAATGGTATCATGAGGTAAGTTAGTTAAGTAGAGAGCTATAAGAAGAACAGAGATTCAAACTTTGATCATAAATCCTTTTAAGGTAGATTACACTCGTTCGGTTAAACTCCTTAATTGTTTAAAAATAAAAGAAAAGGGTTTTTTGGCTGTACAATAAATTAATCTCGTGGAACAAATTTAGAGTTGAAACTGATATGCAATTGTTGCAGAGATTGTTAGAACTGATAGTTTCAGCCAATAACTGCGAGCAAGCTTTGCCTGATTGCTGGGACTGAGCAAAACAGCGAGCCAAATATACCAGTTAGACCATAAGCAATGGCACAAAACGGAAGGGCTTCAGGCTCCTTGGCCGACAATGCAGCTGTTCCCAATCCATGGGCACTGGAACAAGACATAAAAGAAAGTAAAGTTTGAAGAATAGATGCGTAATCAAGAACATGTTTGAGAGACAACAATTGCATAATCAAGGAAAGTTGAGGTACATACCTAGATGCAGTTGCTATTCCTCGAGCAATAGGGTCACGGAAACGTAATTTGTCGAGCATTGCCTGCACAAAGTTTGCACCAATGAGACCAGTCACTACAACTGCAGCTGCTGTGAGAGATGAATTTGCACCTGCAAGCAATGTAGACAAGCTATCATATTGGCTGAACTTAATCAGATAATAATCTAGATATACAGGTAACAGATTGGAACACGATTCATCTCCATTTATGTGCTCCCTGTCAAAAATTATTCCTTCAGTTGTATCATACATGAACCAGAATATTAAGTTGCCAGCCATCATCTGGAGAGTGTAGTACCATTATCTTACCCTCAAAAAGGGAAACAATGCTAAGGGCTAATGCCACTGTTATACATCTCGGTAGAATTGAAACAGTCAGACTTGGTTCTAACCCCACAAGACGCCCAGCAAGAGCAGTTGAATACAAAGAAAACAAACTTGAGATGATGATAGATATAAATATCTCAGCTGCATGTCTCTTAACAAGCTGTAAAAGTCAAGTGATGAATTAGGAAAAACCTGATGATGTCTATTGGTGCTAAGAATCTGCTATTAAGATGAATATATCATAACAGCAAACTTAGGCTTGGCATTTTGATCATTAAAGTGTGAAGGGCAGATCATGGATCTGTCTCATTTTGTTGAATGTGAAGGGCAGGCAGTTACCTTTCTCTGTTTGAACATTGAGAAAGCAAAAGAAAGAATAACAGAGCCCAAAAATCCCATGAGAATATCACCAGCTCCAGGATTGGATGACACTTTTGTAAGGTAACATCCTGCATACATTAACTGCAAAATTATTTTTTACATACATTAACAGCCACATGGGTATAAAGTGGAAATCTTACTACAGAATACCAAGAATTGCATATTGGAGGATGGGATGTAGATGTCCATATTGGTTTTCCTTTAACTAAATTATAAGAAAGATTAACTTTAAAATATTACCTAAAACTGCATCAAATCCAAGCTGAGATATGTACCCAAAGGCCAATGCTGCCAGATCAGCAGACAGTGCACAGCAAATAATTGGATGAAAAACTTTTTTCACACCAGATGACAACCTGAACACAGGAAGAACTGAAAATTGGTAAAACTTTCAAGAAACAATACAAATATAGAAGTTTGTTATTTGGAAAAACTTTGCCCATATGAATTGCTCAAAAGAGGACAATGATATTTTACCCAGAACCAACCATGTAGCCTAGCACGGTGGAGGCAAGTAGGAAGGGGAGGCATGTTCGGGCACTTGTCCCCAATGCTGTAGGATAAAATATTGCACTAACAAATGATACAAGAAAGATGCCACTCCATGTCCAAAATTCTAGGGGAGAAAAAGGAGAAGGTTTTGCCATAGGCTCAGCATCTGTCATTTCTGTCTTCACAATTTTTCTCACGGCAATAGCTGTAAAACCCGCAATACAAAGTGAAGCTAACCAGCCTCCAGCTGCAGAAGAATTAAGAAGGAAGAAATGTTGTGACAGACATCAATAACAGATGCCAAAGCATGACAGTAGGCATGCATGAATAACTGATGAGTTTAGGATAAATTCAGAAGATATTAGTGTATCCTTCCAGAGCCAAAAAGTACAATTTCAATGTGATGCTGACATTTATATCAAACAGAGACACCTATACATATATCCTAAACTTACAAAAGAAAAAGTTGAAACTTCCACTAGAAACATACGTAAACCTTTCTACACAAAATGTTCAGAGGAAGGTTCCAGCCACCGGACAATTTCACTTTTTTGCATCCCAAAAGTCCAAACTTAAAATTCAACTTTCCACAACAAAACACATGACTGTCTATTCAATAAGCTTAAAAGGAAGGTTCCAATTGTGATAAATCTTCTATTGTACATTTGGAAGCAACAAGGTCATGTGATTTCAAGGCATTTTTGCTCACAGTGTCTCTGATACTTTAAAGAGAACAGTAATTGTTCATGCACATAAACAAGGAGAGGTATAATGCACTTGAATTAAAAGAAAACTAGTGAATTCAAAAGAATCAATGCCTCAGAAAAAACCACCCTCAATAAAATTTATAATTGAAATACATAAAAAAAAGGACTTCATCAAGGCTATAGTATAATACCTATGATGAAGCATATCTTGAGGCCCGAAGAGGCAGGAATATCTCTAACGGAAAGTGGCAGAACCACCAAAGCCGGAACATAAAACAATGGAAGCCATCTTTGTATGAACATGAGGGCTGGCTCAAAAAAGTTCATCAAGCTTGTAGCAGCAGCAGGGATAGTAGTATCAAGTATCACCAAAACAGAAAATATACAAAACATTCCAAATAGTGCACTGGGAAACTTTATAGCAGCAGCCACAAAAGCTTTCTTCAAGAATTTATCCATTGCCAGAACTATCCCAAGCGAAACAACCAAGTGCAATACCCCAAACGCCTATATTAAATAAAATAAAATAAAATAAAAAGAACAACCCTTGATCAAATGTGATGAAACATTTGATAAAGTTTTCCTTTATATATATATATATATATATATATATATATATATATATAAAAGAGAAAATTTACTTACTTTCTGAGAGATAGTGGAGGTGGAAATGTTACTACTGTCTGAAGCAGAGGATTTGACTGAAACTGTTCGGCTAGAGCTAGTTTCTTGAGGATCCATTTGCAAGAAGCTGCAGTTGGGTCCAAGAACTCTAACGGGTACCAACGATTTATGGGGAGGACTGGAATGATTATGCTCATGTTTATATGACTGTGGGTTTCCATTGAAAGCAACGTGTGTTAAATTTCTACGGAATCTGTTGAGGTTTGGCTTAAAAGCGAGACAAGTTAAGGAAGGGGATTTGGAATGATGGTGGTGAGTAGGAGACAGTGACAAATTTGTGGGTGTAGCCACCAAAGGAGCTGCCATTGAAAGAGCAAAAGAGTAGCCAGAATTTCCAAGAAAGTCGCCATTTTCACCTTGTGAGGTGACTGGGCTATTTTTAAAAGTTTGTATGGACCTAAAATAACGCTGTCATATAACAGGATCAGATTCTTTTCTTTTTTGTTGTTGTGGTGGGGGGTTGGTTGTCTGGGTCCATATGGATAGTGGCATAGTGCCGCTTGGTAAATTTACAGAAAATAGAAACTTCAGTAAATTACCTAAGAAATTCTTGGCTTTTTCGCAAATGCTATGTCCTCTAAAGATAGATTGATGATGCTAGGAAGATCTCTTGGCTAAGCACATCTTGTACCTAAACAATGGTAATCTAACAGTGGGAGTGGGAGTTTTCTTCCTGTTTGTGCTAGATTGTCAAGTTTTAAGATGTGCCTTCAGTTTTCTTCCCAAAAGGTGAGAATCTGCCTGTGAACTTGCTTTCGATAATTGCACATTACATTACTTCAGATTAAGGAAAGGAAAATGCTAAACCGCATTAAAAATGGTGAACAATCTAAGTTGGTTAAAAAACCATGAAGAACATCGACGACCTTCAGACTTAGCAGAGGAGGAAGAGCAGGCAGCAGAAGTATCTCAGACAAAAGGTTATTAATAAAGCATTAACTAATTACATGAAATGTTTCAAGACTAATATGAGCTAGCAGCAGAAAATTATTTTTATAGCTAAATGTCCTTTCTTGTTTGAAGTAAGGCTGCATAAAATCTGCCACTGCCCATATCTGAGATCCTAAAGTCTAGAACTTAAGAAGTTCCTAAGCTCTCTTCTTAGGGTCTTCCCTGCAGCAGACTTTGGTATTGATTTTGTAAACACCACCTTTCTTACTTTCTTATAAGGTGCAACCTGATATAAATAAAGAAGAAAACACATGGTAAGTGTTTGATAAACAGGGAGGGTATATAAGAGAATGATATCCCCGAAAAGTTAGGAACTTCCACACCTGCTTAGCCACGAAGTCCATGACAGCACCCTGGGTCAGTGTGCTACCTTGCCTCCTCACCACAAATGCCACAGGAATCTCACCAGCTACTTCATCAATGGCTCTAAAGCACCCAAAATCAATAAATATGAAGGTGAGTAGGGTGAATTAAAGCAATTGGATGAAATTCAACCCCATCATTCATATGGCTAAAAATAGTGTCAGGTGCTAAAAGATGTATGGTAATGGTTGCAACTTGCAATAATTCATTCCATAGACAAGTTAATCAGGCATTAATCTACAATATAACCCTGCTTCACTTAGGTTTCAGGTCTGCACTTTGTGATTTATTGTTCCACATAGACATGGTGCTTCTTATTAGCTTCATTATCTTTGAGAAATCAGAGGCCAATGCTTAGCATTGGGGATTCATTTTATTCGGGAAGAAGTGAAAATAATTCTCTCCACAACATGTCAAATGTCCACCAGAACAAAGTTGAAAAAGTTGGAAAAAAAATACTTACGGAATTACAGCAGAGTCAAGTATCTCAGGATGGGAAATCAGGATGGCCTCTAAATCAGCAGGGGCAATCTGGTACGACAATAACATTATAAGCACCATGCTAAAGTGATTACAGATCACTAGACTTTGTCTGGTCCTAAAGTACTAAAATGACAGGGAAGAAAAAGTCATGCCTGATAGCCCTTGTATTTTATAATCTCTTTTAAGCGGTCAGATACATACATGTACCCATCTTCATCAAAACAAACAATGTCACCGGTGCGTAGCCAACCGTCTTTGTCAATTGTCATCCTGGTGGCCTCAACATTATTTAAGTATCCTGGGAAATTAAGAGAACCATACCAAGTAAGCTACCCAACAATGTTTTAGCTAGGAAAGAGTGTCATGCTTCCATTCATCCCTATGAAATTTATAAGAATTCAACAAGATGTCAATGTAATCCAAAATTTTAGGACGTTTCCATTTTTGAAAGACATAAAACTGAATAGAAAGTCTTTTCCTGCTGCATGGACTACTTTAAACAAACTGCAAGCACGTTTGTTAGTCTAACTGGGCCACTGATCATGCAAATAAAGCACTCTACAAGAATAGAAAGAAACAGTTTAAATGTCACAACACTTGTCATATTCACAGCGCCACAAAGATGAGGATACACCATGCGAAATTCAGAAGTAAATTGGAGACGAGAAAAACAGGGCATAACACACCTTTGCATGACAGAATAATCTGACATTAGTCAAAACCAAAAGGATGCCCGACTAGAAAACAGGGCATGGCACACCTTTTAGCTCTTCTAACATGTAAGACACTAGCATTGACTGGATGGTGACAATAAAAGCATTTCCGGGAAAAGATGATTAATTACCTTGCATAATTCCAGGTCCTCTTAGCCAAAGCTCTCCATAACTGCCAGGAGGCAGAGAGGAGCCAGAATTCCAATCCACCACTTTAGCTTGCATGTTTGGAGCTAGAAGTCCCACTGAAGAATATTTATGATGTTTTTCATTGTTGAAGCCACGGTTTCCTACTGCAGTTGATTCAGTCATGCCATAACCCTGTCAATTGATAGAATTCAAGGAAGCTCAGTAATTGCCCAAGAAATTTTACATATCAATCGAAAAAGAGTGTAACTTCATAAAATTCTAATCTAAACCATAGTGTCATGTCGAAATTCAACATTAGCATTCTCAGAGTCAGAGAAAGCAGTAACCTCTCGATCAACAAAAGCAGAAAGGTACAAAATCTAATGGCTTATTATTGGAATGCAAGTTGTTACAGCATGATAACTTAAGAGGTCTATGTCAAAACTTAGGCCTTGGTACCTGAATGAAATCAACATGAGGGACAGCCTGAACAAAGTCCTCTATCGCTTTCCTGGTCAAAGAAGCAGCACCGCAAGAAACCTGTTTCAAACTCTTGAAGCTATTTTCACGAACACCCTTGGCTCTCATTGTCAATGTTGTCAGTATAGGTGGAACAACTGGAAAGTGAGTAACTCCATATTTATCAATTACGTTCACCATTTCAGTGGCATTAAATCTCCTCATGACAACAATACTAGTCCCCAATGATAACAATCCTACCGCAAAGAGTGACAGTCCATAAATATGGAACATTGGTAGAACAGCTAAATACACATTCTTTGAACTTGAATACTCGTACTGTGAAGCCTCAAATCTTACAAATAGCTCAATCATTGCTATAAAATTCCCATGTGTAAGGACAACTCCCTTACTAACACCTGTAGTACCTGATGAATTCATTATTGCTGCAGTGTCTTGCTGCCTAATCACTGGCCTTGGTGCCTTATCAAATTGCCCCTCAATAAGCTTATGAAAAAGTAAAAAATCAGTCTTTTCTGAATCCAAGTTCAAGTTTTCTGGTACCCCAATTGCATGAACACCCAGGTTCTTAAGTTTGTCAACCTTATCAAGAAGAGTAAAAGCAAAACGCACACCGGAGTCAGCAATCTGTTTCTTGATCTCCAACATACTAGCTAGTGGATTCATGGCCGTAACAATTGCACCTAAATATAAAACACTCAAGAAAATAATGGGGAAGTAAACAGAATTTGGCAACAAAAGCAAGACCACATCACCTTGAGAAACACCCAGGTGGTGGAGACCAGAGGCCATTGACTGGATCAAAGGTAAAAGCTTTGAGTAAGATATTGAATACCCAGATGAGGAATCAATCAAAGCGGTGACCCCGTCATGTTGGTGAGAGAAAATGAAGGAAACAATATCAAGAAAACAATCAGTGGGGAGGGATACAGAGGAATGCTTGCTGGAATAAATCCCTGTTTCCGGTGAATACCAGTCAGGAAAACGAGTTGTCTTGGATTCTGAGGGTTGGAGGCTGAAATGGGAGTTCAAGCTCGTTTCCATTGATGTAGAGTTTAGTTTTTAAAAAAAGGACAGAGAGAGAACCGTAGGAACTTGAGAAAAAACAACGAAACAGAGGAGAGGCAGAGAAGAGGAGAAAAGGTTTTGGTTTTTCAGTTTGCACGTTGCGGCTCGGGCTGCGAAAGAAACGTTTATGGTTGCTTACGTTTTTTTTCGCTTGCTTGGCCACGTTAATCGTCACAAAGGAGTTGCTTTTAACGTCGTGCGCTAGGGGGCAAGGATGTACGGTCCAGTGGTTCGGCTTGGGAACGCGGACCATTCACGTATGCTTGTCTAAAAAATTTTATATCTTAATTAGAAATTAATGCAAACCTGACTTTAAATTTTATGATTTAATTAAATATAATAATGTTTCATTATTATAACAATAAATTACAGTCAAATGGTTATTAAATTCATGAATATTATGGCCACATTCTTACATCCACGTTATAATTCATTTACTATCTTTAAAATTTTAATATTTTGTTTATGTTGCTAGTAACTTTTTCTATTTATACATTTATTATTTGTATTAAATATAAATGATTTAAATGACTCATTAACTTAATTATCAAGAATCAACATATTTATAAAGGATTTATTTATGAATTCTAACTAATCATTAATTTAAAATCGATTTTCTAATCGGTCTAAAATCCTAAATCATTGAAAAAATTTCAATTTTAAAAATTTTAAACTATAAATCATCTATTAAATCATAAAATTAACGGAAGTTGGATTCAAAAATTTAAGGCATGAAGCAAATTCATGAGTGATTGTGAATCATTACCCACCCAACCCAAAATTGAGTGGCATGGAATGAAACAAAGTCAATTGGGTCCATGGAAAATGATAAATGTTATATTCACCAGATTTTATTTTTTTTTTTGTTCTTCTTTTCATATGACAGACTATGAGAAATTCAAGAAACTATTTTCTTTCACTTTCTCGGATTCTACTTTCTCTCTAATTGATTCCTCGAAATAGGGAAGGTAAAATAAATAAATACTTGGTTAGTAGTTCTATTATATGTTCAATTTGCTTTGGTTATGAACTGAATCAATCCCCGTAAGTACATGCTTTTAATTTAAAATGCCTTAGCCGACCTTCATTCATGCGACAGTCACGAATGTTTGACTTCGTAAAACAAATACAGCGTACTCAATCTCATTTTTTATTAAAAAAAACTATAAATGGGTTTTCTCGATTCAAAAAATCTGCAGAAATGAAAGAAATTAAGTTGACTTAATTAAATTTTTTTTTAAATTAGTGAGGTAGTGATAAATATAATAACGATCTCTTCACTTATTGTTAATTAAAGTTGAATTTAATATTTGTACTAAGAATTCAATAAAAATATCAAAAATGAAGAAAAAAAATCTCGACCATCCAATCAATGTGTTGGTTTGATCACAAAGAATAATAATCTATGACAAATAAAGAGTGAGATGCAATCAATTGTCTGTTAAAATTATTTAGAAATGATGATAGAAAAAATTACATATAAATATATATATATATCAAACATATAAATATGATAAAAATATCTTTACTTATTATTAATTGATTTTAGATTGGATATGTGTGTTTGGTTCACAAAATTAACAAAAAGGGAGAAAACAGACATGTCATTGGATGGGTTGGTTTGATGAATATGAAGAATAATCAATAACAGAACAAAGAAGGAGATAAGATGATGGCACATGTTACCACATGCATGCTGTGTTTTTCCAAGTTTCTTACAGGGTTCAAGTGAAGGGAGAGAGCATGTTAAGAAAGAGTTCCCTCCGCTAGGAATATTTATTTCTGTAACCAATCCATACCACATCTCTACATCGGAACAGATAATTTGGGTTTGTATGTCGGATTTCTGGTCATCTGAATTTCAGGTATGGCTACTTGAACTTTGCGTGTTGATTCAGATTTGGATGAAATCAGTGATTTCTTTCCCGGCTTTACATGGATAAACAATTCCGGTAAGTCTAGTGCTTTCATTTTCTTTCATTCTTTGAACGACTGCCAACTTTTCTTTCCCTTTGATTTATTTGCATGGGCTTTGGAGTAGGAAAAAAAAAAAGTGATTCTTGGTCGGCCAAATGGGTCTTGACTAACAAATTTTTTGTATATAGTGATTCTTGTGATAAGAAGAGGAAACGTTGTAAACAAGTAAAAGATGTATCAAAAGTGACGGAGAGGAAGATTAAAACAATTTATTAAGCACTACATGTCGTAGTAAGTGGAAGAGAATTAAGAAAAAAATAAGTGTTATGAGTGAGAATAGACTAAGGACAAAAACTCTAAGTGATACTCTAGTAGTTTTGAAAGTTTCTCTTTTAAATTGTAAAAAGTATTAAAAATAAAAAAGGCTTTAATCCACGTAATGAATTATATTATTAAAGAGAGTTTTAATGTTAGGTAACTGTTATTGAAAGTTAAAGTTGAGTAAATGTTAAAAACTTATTATGTGATCATTGAAGTAATTATATTTAATAAGACTTGTTATCAATTATGAGCTAATAAAAAAAGTTGTACGTGAACAGGTATAAGAGAGGAAACTGTACATGAGCAGGTGTAAGAGAAAAGGTTATATATGAACAAGTATAAGAGAACAAGAAAAAATCAAAAAACAGTTGTATTTCAAGAAAAAGTTAAAAGAAACTTCTTAACTACTTCCATATTTGAGCCACCAAGTCAAACTCTTCAGAACATCTTAATACGAAAATAACCCATGAACCCTGCCACCTATTCCGAATTACTTTCAGTATTATTTATGTGAAATTGTTATTTTGAATAAAATAGTTATTTCACTTATATTAATTGTCACTTATTCTAATTGTTCTATATGAAGTAATACTTCACTTATAATGATTATTTTTATTATTTTTTATATAATATTACGTGATAAAATAATTTTTTAAAAAATAAATATTAATCAAAATTGACTATCTACGCTCTTCAACATCCGTATTGAGCCGATTACCATTTTGGTCCAAGATGGCAATCCGAAGCACCATGGGCTGGAAAATGGTTACCTCCTTGTCGAGAAACGTTCATGCTAAGTCATCTAGAAATGAATGGCTTGAGTCTCCAATGGATGAAGAACGTAGAATAGTTTGGACATTGGGTTGGACCGAATCCAACAACTTTGCCTCGGGCTGACGCTGATGCGTATGCTTTTCCTCATTCATGTTTGGTCAAGCAGCCATGGCCTCGTGCACCACTACTCAATTGTTGAATTGATTTGGTCATAGTCTAGTGGTTCAACATTTCAAGTTCACAAGACAGCGAAATTTAAGGAACAAGAATTCTACACTTATGTGGCATTTGGTACATCACAATGCAATGTAATTACAGGTAATGTGATTGCAAGTAATGTGATTGCAAGCAATGTGATTATAAGGAAAATAACATTACAGTGTTTGATATATAAGCAAAATAATGATTAAAATGCAGGGAAGATAACATTACAGTGTTTGATTTACAAGTACTTTAGTGAGAATGTAATGTTAATTGTCAAAATTACCCTTAATTATTAAAATATAAGTTTAATATATTTATATTTTTTATTATTAATTTTTATATAATATCATTTCTTAAATATATTTTTAATATCATATATTTTATTTTTATTTATTATTATAATATTTTATATTTTATTTTTAATATATTCATATTTATATTATTAATTTTTATATAATATCATATTTTAAATATATTTTTAATGTCATATATTTTTATTTTATTTATTATTATAATTTTATATATTTTATTTTCATTTCTTTAATATATTTTTTATATATATATTTTATTTTAATTTGTTTTACCTATATTATATAATTTATTTTTTTATATTTTATTTTATTTTAATTTTTAATTCTTATATTATATATTTTATTTTAATTATAATATTATAAATATTTTTAATAAAATAATCAAGTTGAAGGGTAAAATTGTTTTTAAGAACATTGCAGAGTGCAATGTGAGTGCAATGTAATGTGATTGCATTGGTTTTGGACTGCAATCACATTACATCTATTGACTGTAATGTAATTACATTGCAATCTTACTATTGCAGTGATCTGTTACAAAACAAACACTGTAATATAATTTAATAAGTCACATTACAAGGAATGTGCTTTACATCCTTGATACCAAACGGACCCTTAATCCGATTATAATTTACTCATTAAAACAATTGTCAAGATGATTGATATAGTATGGTTCATTCTGTGTATTTTGACTGATAGTTTGAAAATTCTAAAAGCAGTAAAAGCAATCCAAGTCCTCATGCTTTATTACATTACTTCCATTTCCATACGCCAGACATGAAGCAAAAGAAGAGGAAAATTTCCATCCTGCCAACATTTCATGTCCTGGGGACATTTCACCAACCATGGCAAAAACTAAGACATTACGTCAAGGAAATTTCAAAGCCATTTTACATTGACAAATCAATAATTTACAAGGAAAGCAAACCATTAAACTCTGCAAATCCATTAAAACTAGTAAGAATTACAACCTGAGTAGCAAGGGAAGTTCAACTCGAGGAACAAATTAAGCATGGTGGAACTTCAAGCATAATTTCTGGATAAATCCCTTAACTGATATGTACTTATGCTTAACAATAATTACAGGACAGGAGAAAAATTCATCATCAATGCCTGGTGGTGAGTTAAAAGAATCTGACAGAGTTTGGTTAGGACTCCTAAGCATATTAGTTCCTTGAAGTTCATGGCTCTGCTTCATAATGATAGCCATAATGGGGAGGCGAGGACAAGTTATAAGCATATTGGGGGGTGGAGCCATGATAATATACATCCTGGGGTGGGGAGGTGGGCTGATAGCTATGATGAGGTGGGGAGGTGGAATGATATACATCATGACGTGGGGAGGGGGAACTGAGATCACTAGTTGGGGCATTGTCAGCATAAGATTGTTGTCTATCAACTCTAACTTTATCAACTCTGACCTCCACCAACTCCTCTTCCTCAAATGTTTGGAAAATTGGGTGCAAGTAAGCATCTGCTAAGAAAGCTTTTAAGTTTAGATCAGGTTCAGTGGTCCGATCCATTATGTCCTTTGCCATTGCTTCCTGCAAAATAAAAGTGAAAAAAGAACTTTTATCAATATGAGGACAAAATTTGCAATCCTTATGAGATAAATAAAACTACCTCCAGACAACGATCATAAAAGTAAA